CATCTATACTTGTGCAAAATCCTTTCCCCTTTGGGTCTCACACCATTCCTATGTAGTTGTAAGGAAAACAGATGTTATTTAAAGCAGTAACTATTGCAGACACTTTTGAGCACCAGGGAAGTAGAATCCTTTATTTATTACTTGGGGGCTATGGACCTTGTTCAGAGGCCTTGATAATTCTTTTGAGTCTGAAAGGTAAAGGTTGCCTAGGATGTATGCTGGAAGGTGAGGGCTAGACAAAGAGAGCTGAGCGTATAATAAAGTGAGATGAGTGGAGGATCTGAAACCATTAAAAAAATATTTTTTTCTTTTCTTTTTTTTGAGACAGAGTCTTACTGTGTTGCCCAGGCTGGAGTGCAGTGGCATGATAACAGCTCACTGCATTCTTGACCTCCCCAGGCTCAGGTAATCCTCCCACCTCAGCCCCCCAAGTAGCTGGGACTACGGGTGTGCATCCCCACACCTGATTAATTTTTTTTTTTTTTTTTTGCAGAGACAGAATTTTACCATGTTGTTCAGGCTGGTCTTGAACTCCTGGGCCCAAGCAATCTGCCCATGTCGGCCTCCCAAAGTGTTGGGATTACAGACGTGAGCCATTGCATCTGGCCATATAAATAATATTAAAAGGAAAAACTGCATACTGAAACAAATCAGCTTAAGTTGGCTGACTAGCCATTGGCTTTTGGACTCAGTTCTGGAATTCCTCTTGTCTAGCACAACTCCTCCCTCTCCCTTCTGCTCCTTTCACACTCCTTATTCACCATGTCTCCTTGTTTCTTCATCCCACTTTGGTTCTATATAGTAAATAATAATAAGACACAAATATTGAGTACTTTCTAGGTGCCAATAGTTTCCAGGTTCCTAGTGCTTTAGGTACACAACCTCATTTCATCTTCACAAAACCCATGCCATGAACCAGGTGCAGTCATCGCTGTCATTTCCACTTCAAGAAACTGAGGAACACAGAGGTTAAGTTACTTGCTATTAAGTAGCAGAGCCAGAAATTGAACCCAGTGTGATGTTAGAGGCCAGGCTCTTAATCATTAAATTTTGCCCGTTTTCCTTTTAGGGTTTTGAATTTGGCAACGCATGTTGAAGCACGATCTACTCAGGCTGAGACTTTGGCTGCCTTTTTCTCTAACGCAGAACATGATTTCTGTTATTGACTTGTGGGTCTGACCTGTCCCAATGGAGACCCCACCCTGGGCCTCACTGCTGCCAGCTAGGAGAAGGGAGAGCAGAACAATGTTTGTTCACACCCTCTGTCTTTTCACACGTATTTGCCGTTTCCTTTCTCCCTTGTCTGCCTGGATGATTTCTTTATGTAGCATTTCATTGCCCCTCCTGGAAAATTGTTCACTTCTCCTTCCATGTGTCCTTCGAAGGTCTTTTCCTTTTTGTTTTGAGACAGAGTCTCACTCTATCACCAGGCTGGAGTGCAGTGGTGCAATCTCGGCTCACTGCAACCTCCGCCTCCTGGGTTCAAGTGATTCTCCTGCCTCAGCCTCCTGAGTAGCTGGGATTGCAGCCACCTGCCACTGCACCTGGCTAATTTTTGTATTTTTAGTTGAGATGGTGTTTCACCATGTTAGTTAGGATGGTCTTGATCTCTTGAGCGCGTGATCCACCGCCTCAGCCTCCCAAAGTACTGGGGTTACAGGCATGAGCCATGGTGCCCAGCCCTTTGAACTTCTATTCAACTGATCTCACTGTATCACCATTCCTGGTAGATGTTTATCTCTGCCCTCAACTGTGAGCTCCTCAAGGCAAGGACCATATCATATTCATCACTGAGTCTCCAGTCTGGCACACTGTAAGGGCTCAGTGTTTCTTGACTGCATGAAAGATGGTGCTAGAAAATGAACAGGACAACTCTCAACTGCTGTAGTAGACAGTATAATTTTGCTACAACCTTGATGGGTTTACATAAAAAGGCCAGAACTTCTAAAAGAATCTTCTTTTAACTTAATCCTCAAACCCTGACATCTTCATCCCAGTTTTTTTTTTTTTTTTTTTTTTTTTTTTTTTACTACCTACTATTCCCTTTGCCAAAAATGCTTTTCTGCACTATAACCATCCCAGTTTTTTTTTTTTTTTTTTGGGGGGTAGTCCCGCTTGTGCCCCCGGGCTGGAGGTCGCGGGCCGGATCTCGGCTCACTGCAACCTCTGCCTCCTGGGTTC